TCATGATGTGGCGATAGATGATGTGTTCAAGGTGGTTCATGATGTGGCGACAGATGATGTGTTCAAGGTGGTTAATGATGTGGTGATAGATGATGTGTTCTAGGTGGTTCATGATGTGGCGACAGATGATGTGTTCTAGGTGGTTCATGATGTGGCGACAGATGATGTGTTCAAAGTGGTTCATGATGTGGCGATAGATGATGTGTTCAAGGTGGTTCATGATGTGGCGACAGATGATGTGTTCAAGGTGGTTCATGATGTGGCGACAGATGATGTGTTCAAGGTGGTTCATGATGTGGCGATAGATGATGTGTTCAAGGCGGTTCATGATGTGGCGACAGATGATGTGTTCAAGGTGGTTCATGATGTGGCGACAGATGATGTGTTCAAGGTGGTTCATGATGTGGTGATAGATGATGTGTTCAAGGTGGTTCATGATGTGGCGACAGATGATGTGTTCAAGGTGGTTCATGATGTGGCGATAGATGATGTGTTCAAGGTGGTTCATGATGTGGCGACAGATGATGTGTTCAAGGTGGTTCATGATGTGGCGACAGATGATGTTTTCAAGGATTTTGTATGGAACGGAGGTAACGGGTATGGGGCGGTAGTTTGCTGGGTTATGGCGGTCGCCTTTCTTGTAGGCACTAGTGATGTTTGCATCAAGCCAGTCTAGCGGGAGTTTGCCTGAGTCAAGCGACTTTTTGAAAATGTGGGTCATAGTTGGGCAATGTTGTCAGCCAGGATCTTCAGGACAATGTTCGGGATACAGTCAGGTCCGGGCGCTTTATTGGGCTTAAGTTTTTTGAGAAGTTTGGCTACTCCTGTTTCAGTTATGTTGAGGGGGCCCATTGTACCAGGTGAAGGTTTTAGGGATGGTATGACTGTGGTGGAGATTTTTGTGAAGACGGATTGAAACTGCCTTAGGAGAATGTCTGCTTTGCATTGGCCATCAATCACAAGTTGCCCCGTTTTCTAGTAGTACGCCAATTTTGTCTTGCTTCCTAGATTTAATGTAGCTCTAGAAAGGTTTTGTGTTGTTGTTTTCTAGGCCTTCTTGAATGACTCCATTTCTGTACTGCCACTCTCCTCAACTTAGTTCCCTACGACAATGTTTCTGGAACTGGCGGTACAGGGTCACGTGTTTGGTAGTTTGGGCTTTCTTCAATAGTCTTTTCTTTTTTTTCATCAGCTTCTTGAGCCATGGTAGATTACATAGACTCTTTGCTGTCGCTGATGGGATATTTTGATCTAAGCTGTTGGATAAGGCATTTTTGAATGTCAACCATAGTGTATCAACATCCTCTCCCTCGTTATATTTTTTTGAGATGACCTGTTCAGTGGCGGCGAGATCTAGTTTGATCTTGTCCCAGTTTGGCTTACCGAGCTTGTAAGATTTCCTGGGTTTGTAGAAGGAGCTAATAGAGCTGCAGTGTAACGGGACTCTAAAGGTAAAATACGACACAGTTGGGCCTGCAAAGTTCACTCGTTTCATTCCTGAAGAAATGTCCCAGCTTCGTCTACATGCGGCTAGAACCTTGAGCATGTTGAGTAGCACATATATATGTGAGCATCTGTTTTCTGTGATGAAGATTAAAAAACTTCACACAGTGTTACATACCTAGTCTTACTAAAAAAGGTTCGTTGGCTTCGTTGTCTAGGGGGTTTAATTATTCTCACTTCACAACTATAATTCTTATAGGAAATATCTTTATTAATCAACTAAGTCTTCAACTGCCGTTACTGTAATCAAAGACCACACTACCACACACTCTACAATAATAATACGTCATATCCCCTTTCGCGCAATACCTCACAAAATATTCAAACATTTAATTACACCATCTACCCAAATAATCTCTAAACAACACGCAATCACACAATACATTCAAGTCCTTAACAACAGGAGTCGTCTCACTGATGAACACTTGCAGTCCATCATGAGTATCTCAACGACACAGAACGTTACTCCCAACATAAACGACTTACTTGGTTTTTTAGCCAACAAAATGGACCAAACATCCAGCTATGACAAATTGGCATAAGAACGAAAATGAGCATGTCAATGATTTTTAATTATTAAAACTTTTTTTTCTGTTTTCATTTCTGTAAATGTTTTTTATAAAAGATTTTTTTTGTTATTGAATGTTCATCCTGTTCGGCCCGCAACCTTATATGTGATTTGAGTTTTGGCGCCCCCGAGCGATTGAATTTGACACCCCTGCTCTACTCCATCCAGCACACACTTACACAACTATAACCCAATGCTGGTCTAACATTTATCCAGCAAGCTGTCTTAAACTGTAACCATTGATGGACTGCCTTCAAGTTGTGTAAATTCAATCTGGTTTGCTAAGCTTTGGTTCATAGACAGGTCAAACGATTAGGACGTTATGGCCTAGGGCTGTGTCATCAGCAAACAAGAAACAAAAAAGGTATTCATTTTTCAACGTCGCTTCCATGCCATAAATGTATCCTTCAAACACACATTGCGCACACTGATGCGCATAGACGTGTCTCCTTAACACTCCCATGCCCCAGGCTATTAGACACATTGCGCACACTGATCCGCATAGACGTGTCTCCTTAACACTCCCATGCCCCAGGCTATTAGACACATTGCGCACACTGATGCGCATAGACGTGTCTCCTTAACACTCCCATGCCCCAGGCTATTAGACACATTGCGCACACTGATCCGCATAGACGTGTCTCCTTAACACTCCCATGCCCCAGGCTATTAGACACATTGCGCACACTGATGCGCATAGACGTGTCTCCTTAACACTCCCATGCCCCAGGCTATTAGACACATTGCGCACACTGATCCGCATAGACGTGTCTCCTTAACACTCCCATGCCCCAGGCTATTAGATTGGCTTTCGATAAATGGTTCACACTTTATCTATTTGTATATTTTTGAATTCATTACATTTTTCTAGAATCAATGGTGCCATGAAATTGACAAAGTCTTTTAAGGAAATACTAAACAATAAAAAGTACAAAAAGAGTCTATGTGAGGAAAAACCTAAAATATGTAGCCATGGTGTACTATGTAATAGCCATTATGAGTATGCGGGCGCACGCGCGTATCTGTGCATGTGTAATCTGATAACATATTTGTTAAGCGTTAATCTTGAGCCTAAGCTCACAATTTAAGAACCACTGTAAGACATGAGAGAAAATCCCAGTACTTATAGGTAACATGCGTATCTCCTTTAAGGCCAGCTCTCTATTTGATGTAAGATTAACTCAGTTTAACATGTTAGCGCCTTTCAAGCGCTGCACACAAGAGATGAACACATAAGTGAGATTCACACCTGAGTCAAAACCAACATTAAAAAAAATAGATACATAAAAAATGAAGCTCTTTTCAAATCATTGGATTTTATTTTTCACCTACGAATTTCAAGACTTTTGTGTAAATCTGTTTCGCTCCAGTCTCCAGTGCAGTGGTTCTAAGGCCTTTTTAAAATTACGGGACATTTGCAGATGTTTTTCTGGACTTTACTTTCAAGACATATATATACTAGTGTGTAGTGATCGGTCTTGACTAGCTGGAAGCAACTAATTTTTAAATCATTTATATTTATATTAATTTCACTTTTCTTCATGTGTTGCTTTCTGGCCACGTGGCCAAATCTCCGGCGAGCTAATTGGCCCACTCCTCGTCAAGCTATCAAGTTGGAACTTGGCACATCGATTCGTTGCCGATGACAACACATTATTTCAACTTGTCAACATCTACCACCAACCTCCAAAAATCTTCTCTTTTTTTTTGGCTGACAAGGTGAAAATGGAGGAAATATAACGACGCTTATTTTACAAAATACAATTCCTCGCTAACTGCGCTAAATGAGATTCTTTTTTTTAAAATTCGTAAGAGCGTTTGGTGCGTAATATTTTCTTTTTGTTTTTTTTTCTGAAATATTTGGTGAAATAAATCTGTGGTGCAAAAGCGGATGGGTTACTGGAATATTAATATATTTCAGGGGCGTGAAAGAAGTGCTGTTTCGAGCCTTTTGGGAAGGGGGGGGGGGCACATAATTGGGATGCTACTTAATGCGGTATTTCAATGCATGTCTTTTTCAAATTTTTAGCCCTGGCCCTCATTGCTCGCTATTACATATTATAAAGTATCTATTTTAAAAAAAATGTTTTTAGGGGTAGATTAATTCAAGTGTAAGAAGACGATACGTGGCAGCTTAAATCACAGCAGTAGCAATCAAACATAAATCAAGTGGCACAGAAATATTTTCAAATCCCATCTACATGCATAGGAGGCACAATGATCATGACATTGATCGTGTGGGTCCTCTAATGTATAGAAGAGGAGAAGAAATAGCCACAAATAGCCACAAATAGCCACAAATAGCCACAAATAGCCACAAATAGCCACAAATAGCCACAAATAGCCGTTAGGTCTGAGACCTTTCCCTCTTGAGCACTTTAGGAGTGGCGTTTTTAAAGGAAAAACAAAAAACTCAATTTTTGATAAAATTAATTTCGGGTTCTAATATTTGAATTCGTAAGTGAACATTCTGATACCTACGATCACTTCTGTTTTAAACATTTAAGAAACCTCGACGATATTTTTAGGGGTAAAGGGGAAAAAAACAAAACACAGTCCAGGTTAATAAAACCCCACTTAAAAAAAAAATTAAAAATTAAGACTATATCTCAAAGAGGAATGTAAGGGATAAGGGAGACTATCCATTTTAAAACATCAGTAATTCCCTACCCTATTTTATTCTAACAATATAATGTAGGTATATATATTTATATATAAGTTTTCATATTTTGTTACACAGTTCCTTGTGCTATTCTTAGCATGGAGACTGCCTATATCTTTTGAGTTCAAGAGTTATTTTAAACGAAGTTTTCCCATAATATTCTTATGTTTACTTCGAAGGAGTTCCAAATATTTGTAGAACAGAGTCACAATTGGGATGTACGCATTCAGAAAGGTTTAGACACCAAACAGTTTCAGGAACAACTCCCTGTGTGTACACTACGATAAGACGTCAGTCCAGCTGTTTTGAAAACAGTTACTTGAGAGGTAACAACAACAAACAAACAAATAAACAAACCAACAAAACTGGAACGTTTTAAGCACACCAAGAGTTTTATCTTAGAATCATCTCAGCTCAGGACAATTTTATTTTCTACACGTCTTTGTAACATCGTGCAGGACACGTCAGCGTCTACTGAAACGATGAGGCTGACAATTATGTAAGTAATCGAACCGTTAGATGAAAAAGGAAGCATTGTTGAGATTAATGCCTTGTTAGTGTGATTTTATGTCCACCGTCTTACACTTCAAATGCGATCCTTGTCATCTGTTGATTTAAAATATAGAATGTGTTACTTGGTGATGATATCGGTTATTTAAGAACAGGCAATAAACTTACAGCAAATGGACGTGTGGGATAAATGCCGTCTTATCATCCCATTGAGATATAACTCTTGGTGAAACTTTAGGGCTCTTTGGTCTTTTATAGTAAACGTAACACAATTTTTTAAAACAAAGATCTCCAACAGACGATGACAATGTAGCGATTGATTAAATTTTTGTTAAGGACTATTTCCAAATTAAACAATCATTAATATAGCAGCACCACATCGACAACAGTAAAAATAAAACAAAAACAAAAAAAGATTACAGAAAAAAAGAAAAAAAGACACGTTTTTCATTGTTTTCAAAATGTTAAGGATCAAGAAATCCAAAATGATGTACAGTTCAATCGATCAATAAATCAATCTTCCGAGGCGCTACAGACCATATGCCATTGTCACAATGATGGCCTGTATCAGTACAGGAATTTATTGGCCCTAACAATAGTTTTGATATATGTCTTGTGTAATCCTCCCAGTGGATTTTAGACGATTATCAATGTCTTTCCACGCAGCGTCTTCAGGTCCATTGCATTTCTATGTCCCTATGTTTTCTTTCTCTCGCTCATTATGTAATGTAATTTTAGTTTATATAAATAAAGTTTGTGTTTAGATAGCATGTCATAAAACCAGTGTCCTTTCAATAATAAAATTGGTTTTTTTTTACACAATTTTGAATGTCTATTATATTATTTATATTGTATTGTTTTCAAACGTCTCGTGTAATGTTTACAATTTTCGCATTTCCGACAGGCTCAAGTCGCGAGCTCTCATTTGCGTTCTCACACTGGCTGCTCTCGTGTCTATAAGCTGCGCCTCATTCCTGCTCACACTATCCCCCAACGCGATAACACAGGGGCTCACAGAGAACGCCACTCTGAGGTGCAACTACTGGGGTGAGGCCGCCCTCAGCAAGCTGTACAGCGTGACTCGAGTTCAGATACGGAAAGATCGGGGAGACGGTGCAAGCCATCTGTTCGCAGAGCTCGCCAGCAACGAGAATGTCGTAACGCTGAAGTCGTTCTCCGATTCCGTCATCGTTCGAGGCAACGCGTCGTCGATAGGAGAAACGTATTTAGAGATCACGTGGCGCGTGGCGGTGAACGATCTCTTTGGCCGTTTCACGTGTGACGTTTCGGGATTCGACGCGAACGGAGCCATCTTGACGGAAACATCCCCCACCTTGGAGATCACTGAGGCGAATTACACCGTCCACGAGGTGGTGCGTCTGCTCGCGGTTCTGAAAACAGAACAGAAAACGTATTGCGACGAGAGGGTTCGAGCGGCAGAGGAGAGCTTCTCAGTGAGGATACGTGAAGTGGAAGCCAATCAGACGGCCATGCTATATCTCGTGGCAAATGAGCTGAAAACGGCTACAGAATCTTCTGAAGAAATCAGGGGCCAGGTCGAAACGATTTTATCTCTGACGTTACATCAGTTTTGGCCAGAAGGTTTTTACGGCCTCCTGATGCCTGAGCTTGGCTGTCCATATGACATTGGCGTCCAGTGGACCACAGGGCACCTTCAATTCAGAACAGATCCCTCCGACCCAAATAACGATACGGTCTCTGAAGTCAGCCGCTTGAAGAAACCGGTTTTAGAGAAGAACGGGACAGAACATTTCGTTAACCAGTTCTACTGCGTGTCGCGGAAGTCAGGGTTGGGACCGAGATGGCCTATGGGAAGCTACTGTTTTCACAAATTAGAAGGATCGGATTGTCCACGGGGATTTGAAGCCGGGTCTATAAACATGGGGGTGGCAACGTCAGAGCAAGGAAATGCCCCCTCCTATATCGTAGCTGGCGATTCTACCTACCTCTTATTCTGCTGTCGCTCTGACAGTCCAGCGAATGTTTCCATCGAGTTACCGAATCTGAAACCGTTTTACCTGTACAGGTTGAAAGGGACCTGTCAAGAGGTCGCCGGTATGTCAGTGACCCCAGAGTTCATGACCATCGACACAGTCAATGGCGCCGATTTCTTTAACATTGTTGTTCCAGACGGGACACTCAACGACGTTAGATTCGAGCTGTGCTACTATCAGAAACTAACAACTGGCGACATGCCATCAAATGCAATAGATGACATTTGACATGCTCATCGACTATCTTAGTGGCTCTCAACAGTTGTCGAACCCCACCACCCCCAGTTATTTCATTTGCTTTAATTATAAAAAATAATTATTCAGCATCTTTTGCAATAAATGGCAATTTCTGATTTCCATCCACAAATATCATTTTACTGATTTCTTAATAATATCATTTTAATATAATTTTATTTTAAAACTGTTTTTAAAAAATTATCCTTATACCCCCGCCCCTCCGGACCCACGTTAGTTATCTCAGCACCTCATAACTTCTGAGTCTCTTAGCATCGCTGAGTAAACTAGCCCCCCCCCCCCAAATCTCCAAATGTTGGTAAAATCCTTTGAGAACCACTATTGTGAGAATCGAAACGACATATAAAGCAAAGATAATAGCATTTTTGAGTGCTATGTATTTCCAAGCTGAACATATAATCGTGCCTTCTCCCCCCCCCCCCACACTTTTTTTTCCAACTCCTGTTACTAAGTTGCGACCATGAATAATTCAGTTTTCTTCTTTACAACGAACACTTAAATGCGTTTTTGGGCAAATGGCATCAGCTTGCCGTCGAGCTAACACCAAGCTCTTTAAGCACTCCTCAAAGCACCTCCCACCAGCCTGAATTCTAGATCCCCCAGAACAACTTCGGAGGCGCGAAGCTGCACGTTGGAGATCTTCCTTTGCTAGGACAGCTTCCACCCACATCCACTCGATCAGGTTACCGATGGCGGCTGCCCCAGCCCAGGTTCATCTGGTCGACCGGACACTGCATTCACAGTGCCAGAGACCGACTTTCCCGTATGGGTCGGGGTGGTACATTTAAGTCCTAATATCTTCCCTTTACCACCCTGGGAAAGCATTGGACGCCCTCTGCAGTGGGTTTCCACCTCGCAACTAATTCATGAAATAGCTGTGACGAAACGGTTGCCTAGGAACAGCTTCCTCAAAGCTGTATATATTTAACTAGAAATCCAATTTCCCCCCCCCCCCCCCCCCTGTTGATACTTCTTACCCCAAAACCAAATATTTCAATTTTTTTTTTTTTAATGCTTTTACAAAAGTAGTCCTTTATTAACTAAAAGCTAAAATTTAACAACCTTTAAAAAAAAAATCATCTGTCGTATAAATATTTCATTGAATTTTTAATGGCATCTATTTAATTGTACGAGATTTATCATTTATGCAATTATACAAACTTTTTTTTTTTTGGCATAAGATTGGTTTTTATCTAATTTAGTGCATGTAAAGCCTAATAGACTAAAGATATCTTTAAACACAAATGCGTCCCGAATGCAAAGAACATAACAAGATAATATACACAGTCAAATACCAGACCAAAAACACGTCCCCATTGAACAAATCATATTTCATTCACATTACCGTTGAGAATCGGGAATAAAATGTTTCAAAAGAAAACGTTCAAGGGTTGAGGTTGGGGATGAGGAGGGGGGGCTGAAAATTTGAAATAATATTACGTCATTGACAACGAGACTATGTTCCCAGTTTCAATTCAATGGAATGACTGGGATCTGACCGAAGAGTATGCCTTAAACAAAGAAAAGTTAATATAAAGGATTTAAAACAAATAAAATTTTTAAAAAATTCAGGGAATGAAGGTGTTACGCACTGTTGTCAGCAGGGAGAAATTAATCTCTTATTTAGATGAATGGCTCGTTCCAAAACAGCGCATAACAAAGACGATACCAATGGATAAATACATCAACAAAGACGATACCAATGGATAAATACATCAACAAAGACGATACCAATGGATAAATACATCAACAAAGACGATACCAATGGATAAATACATCAACAAAGACGATACCAATGGATAAATACATCAACAAAGACGATACCAATGGATAAATACATCAACAAAGACGATACCAATGGATAAATACATCAACAAAGACGATACCAATGGATAAATACATCAACAAAGACGATACCAATGGATAAATACATCAACAAAGAATACGCTACTTGAAAAAAGCGCTAATTACAATCAATAAGTTTTATTAATTAATAATAAAGTACAAAAGTCAAAAAGAAAAATAACTAAGAATTATTAACTTACAATAGATGTTTTTGCTGGTACCAGTTCAATGTTGAATAAAACACAATGCACAAAATGTTCAATAATGAAAGAAAGTCTACTGTAAACAAATTCCAAAATAACTCTCTCTCTCGCCGAAAAGCGTCTCTGCTACGTGTTGCGTGCCATGTTAAGGACTTAAGCGTATATTGTGATTGCACGTTGTTTAGAGATTATATGTGTTGCTTTATCCATTATCTCTAGTATTATGTGACGTACTTTTTGGGAAGGGGAAACGACGTAATGTTTTTGTGTAGAGTGTTGTCTTTTGAGTAATGGCAGGTAACGATTTTGTTAATAAACATACTGTATTTTAAAATAATAATTAATGGTTTGTGAAGTTAATATAAATAACCCCTAGAAAAAAACGTAGCCATCGAACCTTTGGCAGTATCGGTTCGTAACATTTGGGGGCTTGTCCGGGATTTGGCTCGTTAGAGAGTATTACATCGTGTGATTGTATGCCGATGCTCCTGTGACTGCTGTGACTGTGTACTGTTGTACTACATCGTGATTGAGCGGTGTATACGCTATACTGCCATGCCTGCGCATGCTGTTGCATCTGTGCGCTGTAGTGAATGTTTCCCGACTGAGTCTGTATCCTGCAGTTACTGCATGCTGCTGTGCTGTTTCCCGGTTTGACTGTCCGTTATTCTGCTTGGTAGGGTTAGGGTTAGGGCCTGTATCCTGCTTGGCCCGTATCCCACTGTGACTGCACCCAAATGTAACTGTTTCCTGCTGTGATGTATCTCGATTTAAGAGTGTACCGCTGTCCGTTCAGTGGCAATCGTGCTCCAGAGATCCGTGATGTACAAGATAAGACTTAAGTTACTTACTTTATTTATGTTTACTTTATTTGAAGCAAAATTTTTTTTGTGTATATATATATATATATATATATATATAAATTTTGAGTGATATAACATATTTATATTTACTTTTTTAGACTTTTTTTTTTACCTTACCCTGGTTGTTAAATCTATTAGTATCAAAAAACATGGAAACCGCGCGTGTAAGTGAAACATTGATCCTAGGACTAAGGGAGTTTGGAGAGGACTTGGATTATAAAGAAGAACTTTTTCTAGGTGTGTCGAAAACAAGGTAATAGAAAGATCGAGGCTAGCTCGGGAGGAGAGGGATAAGGAACGAGATAGACAGGCTAGGTTAGAACGGGAAAGAAAAAGCCTATAAAGCCTCTGTCCATCCACTTTTAGATTTCCCAATTTAACCCGAAGAACATTGACAGGTTGGAGGCGTTTCAGCGACGGGCAGCACGCTTTGTCCTGAACCGCTACAGAAACACCTCAAGTGTTGGCATAATGCTGAAAACACTGGGCTGGTCATCATTGGAAGAACGATGACGGCTATTCAAGCTCTCCATGTTGTAAAAAATCAAAAATGGCCTGTTCCACTGCTCCAGCATTAAACAGGAACTCGTCCATCTCCCCCCTAGACAGCGACGAGGCCACGACAGGCAAGAACTAAAACTAAGACCATCGGTGAACGCTCCTTCTGCTTCCATGGGCCCACGTTCTGGAACCAGCTCCCCTTCCATATACGTCATAGTGAAACCTCGTCCATTTTCAAAAAGTCCCTTAAAACTCATCTGTTTAGGTCCGCCTATGACCTGTGATGCACCTCCTTGCCCTACCTCATTTTCTGTTTCGGGTTGATCCTGAAGTGTCAAAGTGTCCTCGTTTTATAGCCATTTTCATTGTTTCTATAGAATAGTAGTTACTATCCTAGTGTCTCATTTATATTTACTTAGTTTATATGTTTTAATAATTGTAAAGCGCTTAGAGCTTTATGATAAGCGCTATATAAAAATGCCTAAATAAATAAATAAATAAATAAATAAATAATAAAAACAATAACTAAGTACAGGAGCTGCTCATTCCTGCCAAAAACAATAAGGGACTGGAACAAGCTTCCAAAAGCAACAGTTGATGTGGGTACACTTAACACATGTGTGTCTATTGCCTCCTGTCTTCCAAACCCCAGTTCATAATACCACTGTTGAGTAGCCCTTACAACTAGTGAAGTATGCCATTCAAAGCCATGCACAGTAAAAGCGCGAACTTCTCTGAAACATAGGAGCCAGAGTGATCAATTCATTGATAGTTGGCCCTCAAAATATGGAAGAATTGTTGTTCGTCCGTCGAGGATCGACGATGACCATCGAGTCATCTGGTGACTGATTACTTGCGCGGGTGACTTTTGTTTAAAGTGAGGAAGAGTTGCGCAGCGTCAACCTCACTCTCTCGTCCGAGCCCACCATATCCAGTGGCAAGACTCTACGTCAAGACGACCAGGGATGAGTACGGTTGCAGGAATGGACATTGTATGCGCCTTACGGGACTCCAACTCCGGGTTTGAATTCAGAGTTTCCTTCTCTTAGATGAGTTGCCGACCAAGGTTAACGAGTCTCATCCACCCGGGGTGATGTTTTTGCTTGACCGGCCTTTGGCTGAAATTGAGGTTTGCTCAATTTAGACCATTCGGCCACCCAGTCACCCATGCAGTGAATGACCATGGCGTTCTAAGTGTCTGGTCATGTTCTCAGCGATTCACACCACTGTGCTGTCTCCGCCTTTTGTCCGTTGACCAAGTAGTGGTTCATCCGCACAATTTGCCGGATTCAGTCTTTACATGCTATGGGGGACAACCCTTTTTTTCCGAAAGTTCTATGCCCTTCGGCTACCCTCAAACTGGAATAGTAGTACTTCCGGCTGCAACAAGATGGCGGAGAAAAAATTCAAAAGAGCACAAAAGGAAGGAAACATGGATTTTACAAGAAAATAATTGTATGAAATAGTTCTTTCTTATGAATATATGCTTAAGAATCTGCAGAGGATCAGAATCTTTGTTTCGGATACGTAATTTTTCTCTCAACAACATTTCGTTAACAAAATCTCCATTGTCACTAAACAAAGGATAACTTCCGGCTACAACAAGATGGCGGTATAGTAATACACAATAGGAAGGAATCTCAGTGTGTAGGCGCTTCAATCAAGCAAGGGGGATAGTTAAAGATGATTATTGGAAATTGGCTTCGACGCAAGAAAATTCGCACTTTTAATTAATTTTTATTGTTTTGCGGTTCCATTCAGGATCAGAATTTATGCTGTTATTAACGTATTTCTCCTTTAAATTACAACTACTGTTGGGCTGAATAGGAAGAAGCCATCTTGTTCGGAAACAGCCGGAAGTCTCTGTACTCAGCTCTCACCTGTGGTTCCAAGAAGCTGTAACATGCACAGCGACTACAACCCAGACATGGAAGAATAAGAAGAGAAGACGAGATTGACAAGCTAAAGCATGAGATAGACAATATAGACTTATAAGGGAAAAACAGGAAAGACAATTTATGCTAGAACGGCTGGCCCAGGAGCTATCATCACAGGAAAAGTTAGAGCGGCAGGAAAAACATGATATGTGGAAAGAGGAAATTAAGTTTAAAAAAAAAAACAAGTGGCTAGAGTTGAGAATTGGAAGAGGGAGAGACAGAGAGATGAGATTAATGTGTTTAAGGAAACCGGGAGGCCGCGAGTGAGTTAAAAAGAGTAACAATAGGGAAATGATTATGTGTTTGAAGTTCAGGAAGAGAGGAATATTTTAAATGTAGCCGAAAGTAAGAAGTTTTGGAATTAAAAGTTAATCTATAAAGTTTTGTTGTTTTTTTTTACTGTGCTCCGTTACTTTCCATACGTCTATTTGTTTTGTTTGCTGATGAAAGCTCTAAGCCGAAACTTCCAAATCGTTTGTTCTGTTTATGAATTCAATTTAAGCATACACCCTGTTCTTGACTTTCATTGTCGTAATCTACCGGCCATCTAATAAAATCAAGTCCACAGAGAACAACTATGCGACAAGCTGAACCAGTCAGTCTGAACTAATCCATTTATCTTAATACATTGAAACTAATCTATCCGACCTAATCCATAGATATGATCCAATCCATTTTACCTTTTACAGCTGGTTTAATCCGTTATAGTGTTTTATGAAAGGAAATCCACCTTCAATGTTTTATAACATGGCATGCATCTTCAAGCAAGTAGCATAGGTAAAAGCGAAGTGGATGAATGAACAAAGCTAACAAATTAATATGGGTTCCATTCACTCACACCTTTTATATCATTACCACCCCTCACACCCTTCAAGCAAGTAGCATAGGTAAAAGCGAAGTGGATGAATGAACAAAACTAACAAATTAATATGGGTTCCATTCACCCCCCCCTTTTTTTTTACACCCCCCCCCCCCCCCACACACACACACACACCCAACTGCATTAGCTCCCAGCAACGATGTCTTGTAAAAGAAAGTCAACCAGACCGAAAGTAAAGTAATATTGAGCCAAACAGCAAAACAGAGCCAACAGAGTCCACAGAGCCAAATCCACATATGGTAACACAAGATTGATGCAGGGCAGAGACGATTCCGCATCTGTAAGGCTACTTCAACCACAGAATTCAGTCCAAGTCTCGACTATCCTTGCCCACAAGTTGTATGGTAAAAATCTGTTCAATCTGATCAAATAAGCGTTTCCCAATCCGAGTGCAAAAGAACAATTTGATTTGATGAAAGTACATGTAGAAACTATAATTAAAACTATAGGCCAACTAAATTATGGACATTTAGAAAAAACAATTTCACAATTTGAATGATTATATCTGCACTTTTGACCTGTGTGTAAAATTCGGTTTTCAACGACACTTCGATACCACAAACCTATTATCCAAACACACCTTTAGCACACTTATCTCCATATAATTGTCTCCTTAACACTCCCATGCCCAAGGCTACAAATTTGCTTTAGATAAATGGTTCACACTTTATCTATTTGTATATTTTTTTTAATTCAGGAAAGTTTTCTAAAATCAATGGTGCCATCAAATGGATAAAAGTTTTTAAAGAAATCATAAAACCACATTTAATCATTCAATGAACGAAATATGTAAGATGTAGCCATTGTGTACTATGTAATAGCCATTATGTGTGTGCGCACGCGCGTATCTGTGCATGTGTAATCTGATAACATATTTGTTAAGCGTTAAGTTTATGCCTAAACTCAAAATTTAAGAACCACTGTAAGACATGAGAGAAAATCCCAGTACTTATAGGTAACATGCGTATCCCCTTTAAGGCCAGCTCTCTATTTGATGTAAGATTAACTCAGTTTAACATGTTAGCGCCTTTCAAGCTCTGCACACAAGAGATGAACACATAAGTGAGCTTCACACCTGAGTCAAAACCAACATTAAAATAATATATAAAAATGAAGATCTTGTCAAATCATCGGCCTTTATATTTCACCTATACGAATTTCAAGACTTTTGTGTAATTCTGTTTCACTCCAGTGCAATGGTTCTAAAGCCTTTTAAAATTACGGGACATTTGCAGATGTTTTTCTGTACATTAATTTCAAGACATATATAAACACGTGTGTTATCGGACGTGACTAGCTGGAAGAAACTAATTTTTAAATCATTTATATTTATATTAATTTCACTTTTCTTCATGTGTTGCTTTCTGGCCGCGTGGCCAAATCTTCCGACAGCTAATTGACCCACTCCTCGTCAAGCTATAGAGCTGGAGCTTGGCACATAGACTCGTTGCCGATGACAACACATTATTTCATTTTTTTAACATCTACTTCAAATCCCCAAAAATCTTCTCTTTTTTACTGGCTGACAAGGTGAAAATGGAGGAAATATGATAACGCTGCTTTTACAAAATACAATTCCTCGCTAACTGCGCTAAATGAGATTCTTTTTAAAAAATTCGCAAGAGCGTTTGGTGCGTAATATTTTCTTTTTGTTTTTTTTTTCTGAAATATTTGGTGAAATAAATCTGTGGTGCAAAAGCGAATGGGTTACTGGAATATTAATATATTTCAGGGGCGTGAAAAAAGTGATGTTTCGAGTCTTTGGGGAAGGGGGGGGGGGTGGGCACATAATTGGGATGCTACTTAATGCGGTATTTCAATGCATGTTTTTTTCAAATTTTTAGCCCTACGAATGGGTTACTGGAATATTAATATATTTCAGGGGCGTGAAAAAAGTGATGTTTCGAGTCTTTGGGGAAGGGGGGGGGTGGGCACATAATTGGGATGCTACTTAATGCGGTATTTCAATGCATGTCTTTTTCAAATTTTTAGCCCTGGCCCTCATTGCTCGCTATTACATATTATAAAGTATCTATTTTTTTTAAATGTTTTTAAGGGTAGTTTAATTCAAGTGTAAGAAGACGATACGTGTCAGCTTAAATCACAGCAGTAGCAATCAAACATAAATCAAGTGGCACAGAAATATTTTCAAATCCCATCTGCATGCATAGGAGGCACAATGATCATTACATTGATCGTGTGGGTCCTCTAATGTATAGAAGAGGAGAAGAAATAGCCACAAATAGCCGTTAGGTCTGAAACCTTTCCCTCTTCAGCACTTTAGGAGTGGCGTTTTTAAAGGAAAAACAAAAAACTCAATTTTTGATAAAATTAATTTCGGGTTCTATTATTTGAATTCGTAAGTGAACATTCTGATACCTACGATCACTTCTGTTTTAAACATTTAAGAAACCTCGACGATATTTTTAGGGGTAAAGGGGAAAAAAACAAAAACACAGTCCAGGTTTATAAAACCCCACTTTAAAAAAAATTAAAAATTAAGACTATATCTCAAAGAGGAATGTATGGGATAAGGGAGACTATCCATTTTAAAACATCAGTAATTCCCTACCCTATTTTATTCTAACAATTTAATGTATGTATATATATTTATATATAAGTTTTCATATTTTGTTACACAGTTCCTTGTGCTATTCTTAGCATGGAGACTGCCTATATCTTTTGAGTTCAAGAGTTATTTTAAACGAAGTTTTCCCATAATATTCTTATGTTTACTTCGAAGGAGTTCCAAATATTTGTAGAACAGAGTCACACTTGGGATGTACGCATTCAGAAAGGTTTAGACACCAAACAGTTTCAGGAACGACTCCCTGTGTGTACACTACGATAAGACGTCAGTCCAGCTGTTTTGAAAACAGTTACTTGAGAGGTAACAACAACAAACAAACAAATAAACAAACCAACAAAACTGGAACGTTTTAAGCACACCAAGAGTTTTATCTTAGAATCATCTCAGCTCAGAACAATTTTATTTTCTACACGTCTTTGTAACATCGTGCAGGACACGTCAGCGTCTACTGAAACGATGAGGCTGACAATTATGTAAGTAATCGAACCGTTAGATGAATAAGGAAGCATTGTTGAGATTAATGCCTTGTTAGTGTGATTTTATGTCCACCGTCTTACACTTCAAATGCGAGCCTTGTCATCTTTTGATTTAAAATATAGAATGTGTTACTTGGTGATGATATCAGTTATTTAAAAAGAGGCACACACACAAAAGGAGCAAACGGCCGTGTGGGATAAATGCGGTCTTATCATCCCATTGAGATATAACTCTTGGTGAAACTTTAGGGCTCTTTGGTCTTTTATAGTAAATGTAACACATTTTTTAAAACAAAGATCGTCCAACAGACGATGACAATGTAGCGATTGATTAAATTTTTATTTAAGGACTATTTCCAAATTAAACAATCATTAATATAGCAGCAACACATCGATAACACAAAAAACAAAACAAAAACAAAAAAAAGATTAAAGAAAAAAGAAAAAAAGACACGTTTTTCATTTTTTTCAAAATGTTAAGGATCAAGAAATCCAAAATGATGTACAGTTCAATCGATCAATAAATCAATCATCCGAGGCGCTACAGACCATATGCCATTGTCACAATGATGGCCTGTATCAGTACAGGAATTTATTGGCCCTAACAATAGTTTTCATATATGTCTTGTGTAATCCTCCCAGTGGATTTTAGACGATTATCAATGTCTTTCCACGCAGCGTCTTCAGGTCCATTGCATTTCTATGTCCCTATGTTTTTCTTTCTCTCGCTCATTATGTAATGTAATTTTAGTTTATATAAATAAAGTTTGTGTTTAGATAGCATGTCATAAAACCAGTGTCCTTTCAATAATAACATTGTTTTTTTTTTAACAATTTTGAATGTCTATTATATTATTTATATTGTATTGTTTTCAAACGTCTCGTGTAATGTTTACAATTTTCGCATTTCCGACAGGCTCAAGTCGCGAGCTCTCATTTGCGTTCTCACACTGGCTGCTCTCGTGTCTATAAGCTGCGCCTCATTCCTGCTCACACTATCCCCCAACGCGATAACACAGGGGCTCACAGAGAACGCCACTCTGAGGTGCAACTACTGGGGTGAGGCCGCCCTCAGCAAGCTGTACAGCGTGACTCGAGTTCAGATACGGAAAGATCGGGGAGACGGTGCAAGCCATCTGTTCGCAGAGCTCGCCAGCAACGAGAATGTCGTAACGCTGAAGTGGTTCTCCGATTCTGTCATCGTTCGAGGCAACGCGTCGTCGATAGGAGAAACGTATTTAGAGATCACGTGGCCAGTGGCGGTGGACGATCTCTTTGGCCGGTTCGCGTGTGACGTTTCGGGCTTCGACGCGAACGGAGCCATCTTGACGGAAACATCCCCCACCTTGGAGATCACTGAGGCGAATTACACCGTCCACGAGGTGATGCGTCTGCTCGCGGTTCTGAAAACAGAACAGAAAACGTATTGCGACGAGAGGGTTCGGGCGGCAGAGGAGAGCTTTTCGATGAGGATACGTGAAGTGGAAGCCAATCACACGGCCATGCTGTATCTCCTTGCGAATGAGCTGAAATCGGAAACCAATCAAACGTTGAGCACGGCTACAGAATTTTCTGAAGAAATCAGGGGGCAGGTCGAAACGATTTTATCTCTGACGTTACATCAGTTTTGGCCAGAAGGTTTTTACGGCCTCCTGATGCCTGAGCTTGGCTGCCCTTATGACAATGGCGTCCAGTGGACCACAGGGCACCTTCAATTCAGAACAGATCCCTCCGACCCTAATAACGATACGGTCTCGGAAGTCAGCCGCTTGAAGAAACCGGTTTTAGAGAAGAACGGGACAGAACATTTCGTTAACCAGTTCTACTGCGTGTCGCGGAAGTCGGGGGAGGGACCGAGGTGGCCTATGGGAAGCTACTGTTTTCACAAATTAGAAGGATCGGATTGTCCGTGGGGATTTGAAGCCGGGGCTATCAACATGGGGGTGGCAACGTCAGAGCAAGGAAATGCCCCCTCCTATCTCGTAGCTGGCGATTCTACTTACCTCTCATTCTGCTGTCGCTCTGACAGTCCAGCGAATGTTTCCATCGAGTTACCGAATCTGAAACCGTTTTACCTGTACAGGTTGAAAGGGACCTGTCAAGAGGTCACCGGTATGTCAGTGACCCCAGAGTTCATGACCATTGACACAGTCAATGGCGCCGATTTCTTTAACATTGTTGTTCCAGACGGGACACTCAACGACGTTAGATTCGAGCTGTGCTACTATCAGAAACTAACAACTGGCGACACGCCATCAGATGCAATAGATGACATTTGACATGCATATCAACTATCTCAGTGGCCCTTAACAGTTTTCAATCACACCACTTACTTAATTTTTCGGGAAAATGTTGTTGTTTTTTTCCAATTGTTTGCAGCATGTGTGGCAATAAATGTCACATCTTATGTCTATCTATAATACAAATCTACAAGCAGTGCTAGGTAAAGGGCAAATAGGATAAATATCAGATCTTGGAAGAACTTAATGACGAATCATCAGTTGGCTGTGGCCGTAAACATGCAGTTTATATCAGCACTTCCAAAACTTTTAAAATTTGCGGACGTTCCGAAGAGTGTCCCACCGCCCCAATGCCAGATATATTTATTTATTTATTTATTTAGGCATTTTTATATAGCGCTTATCATAAAGCTCTAAGCGCTTTACAATTATTAAAACATGTAAACTAAGTAAATACAAATGAGATACTAGGATAGTAACTACTATTTTATAGATATATCAGTTATTATTTGCCTTTTGTTTCACCCTAAGTATGTATGACTTAAGTTTTTCTCATTCCTAAACTTCCAACTCGACAGGACTATATAGCGTCAGTTTGCCAGGCTTCTCTCATGCTATACAACGTAAGCTTGCCAGGCACATAATGCTATATATAGCGTCAGTTTGCTAGGCTCCTCTTGGCGCTCTATAGCAGGCCCGCACAACTCAGAATGTACGGCGGGCCTTAATACTTTATGAAAAACGTGTGCGGGCCAAAATAAATTAAGACAGGACATGTGCGGGCCAAAATAAAATAAGATAGGGGCGAAAGCTGTTAAGAAAATAATAAAATTTTTAAAAAAATTAAGAATATTTCGTTACTTCGCGGGCCGCCAAGTAGGTGCTGGTGGACCGCGTGCGGCCCGCGAGCCGTATGTTGTGCAGGCCTGCTCTATAGCGTCAGTTTTCCGGCTTCTCTGGGTGCTAATAAGCTTCCCAGGTTCCTCTCGATGCTTTATAGCTTCCCAGGCTCCACTTGGTGATATATATCGTCAGCTTCTCGGCTTCTCGCGATCCTATAACTAAAATTTCACAACAGACTGCCAAAACTTCAGGAGCATCTATCCTTTAGTGGTCGAAGCCATCCCCAACCCCATTCCTAGACTTTGAAATTGGTCAATTGTTTGCTTGGGTCATGCTAGTCATTGCATTGGTGTCTCCCTCGTGGGTCATGCTAGTCATTGCCTTGGTGTCTCCCCCATGGGTCATACTAGTCATTATCTTGGTGTCTTCCCCGTGGGTCATGCTAGTCATTGCCTTGGTGTCTCCCCCATGGGTCATGCTAGTCATTGCCTTGGTGTCTCCCCCGTGGGTCATGCTAGTCATTGCCTTGGTGTCTCCCCCGTGGGTCATGCTAGTCATTGCCTTGGTGTCTCCCCGTGGGTCATGCTAGTCATTGTCTTGGTGTCTCCCCGTGGGTCATGCTAGTCATTGCCTTGGTGTCTCCCCGTGGATCATGCTAGCCATTGCCTTGGTGTCTCCCCCGTGGATCATGCTAGTCATTGCCTTGGTGTCTCCCCCGTGGAGTCATTGCCTTGGGTTCTCCCCGTGGTTCATGCTAGCCATTGCCTTGGTGTCTCCCCCGTGGATCATGCTAGTCATTGCCTTGGTGTCTCCCCCGTGGATCATGCTAGTCATTGCCTTGGTGTCTCCCGTGGATCATGCTAATCATTGCCTTGGTGTCTCCTCCGTGGATCATGCTAGTCATTGCCTTGGTGTCTCCCCCGTGGATCATGCTAGTCATTGCCTTGGTGTCTCTCCCGTGGATCATACAAGACATGGGTCATGCTAGTCATTGTCTTGGACGCACATAGTGAAAAGCACCGGGCCTAGGACCGAGCCTTTGGGTACTCGGAATTCGATGATAGATTGCTTCCAGGTCAAGCCGTTTGCGAAAACTAATAGGACCCGATTGGTCAGATATGAGCGGATCCATCTCAGGACATGTTCATGGATGATCCCAACTTCAGATATCTGTGAGATGCCCTCTCAGTTCCTTCAGCGTCTTAGTAGGACACAGAATACAGTGGAGTAAGTTAAGCACTGGATGACTATAAACAAGCTTGAATTGAACGATGAAAAGGCTGAGCTGATCCCCATTGCTATACCACTCAAAAGCTAAAATATATAAATAATACACAAACTCTTACTCTCTCAGGTATATAGATTGAGTTTGCTCAAACAGTGCGAAACCTGGGTGTCTACTTAGACCGATCACTAACTATGGAAAATCACATTAACATGCTTTGCAAGGTGATTTTTCTAGAGCTACACAGAATTAGTCATATCAGACCTTTCTTAAATTAGATGCATCAAAAAGGCTGATGTCTGCATTCGTGCTATCACGCAGGGACTACTGCAATGCTCTTATGGTGGGTCTTCCAGCTACGCTCCTGGATAAAATTAAAAAAGCACAGAATAATTCGGCTCGCATTGTTCTTCTAAAACGCAAATTCGACCATGCTAAAACACTTCTGAGAGATTTGCATTGGCTGCCGGTCAGCGCTCGCATAGAGTACAAAATTGCAACTCTGTGCTACCGCTGCTTGCATGACCTGGTACCGTCCTATCTGAAAGTGCTACTTACGCCTTATGTACCAATTAGACAACTCCGCTCATCTGATAGTGGCAAACTCTCGATACCACGTCGCAACAATTTGGAACACCCTTCTTGTCGCTCTCAGAAACAGTCAGACACTGGAGTCTTTCAAAACTGACTTGAAGACTTATCTATTTCGAAAACACCTGCTGGGGTGATGTTGTCAATCTAGCCATTGTCTTGTAGATGTATATTGGCCTGTGTTGTTTATGGTTACAAGGTATGAAAGACTTAGAATGGGTATTCTCGTATGTAGTTTTTGTAATGTTACATTTTGCACTTCATTGTGGTATGTACCACACTTCGAGCCTTTGGGGATGATGCGTGATTGTCAAATAATCTTTTTATTATCATTATAGGTACTGCGATAGGCTTTGGGGAGAGTTTGATCAATAGGGAAATAATTACTTGAATTGAACTTGATAGTTGACGCGAAATTTCTACGGATTCGAAACTTCAACTGTAGGGTCTGCCTGGAATTCATTGCTTTTGTTTTCTGAGCTTTTTACAGGCGGCAGACCGGGTGCAACAGACATCGTAGAGAAGGGGTGGAGGTGGATAGGGTCCCCGGATAGCGTCGCCGGACGGTCTCTGGCATGGAGTCCGCAACGAAAAGGAGAGAGAGGAGGGCCGGGGGTACATAGAGACGCGGGCTTGTGGCAGGCACGCAAGATGTCGGATGCACCTGAGGGCGTCTGGGAGGGAAGAGCGCGGGACTGTGATGAGTGGAAAATTCTTGTGGACGGCCTGTGTCCTAGACGGGGTACAAAGGCATAAGAAGAAGACCTCGCATAAAAAAAATGCGAGCCGTATGGAAGAGTTGGGGGGACACGTTGAAAACTGCATCAGAGGAGCGGGGTGCGAGGAATAAAATGCACCAGATAACGTCATCAGAGTGGGTGGCCACCGACAGAAGGCGTCAGATGACGTCATTACAGTGGGTGGTCATCGATAGAGGGCATTAGACGGCGTCATCAGAATGGTTGTTCCTGAATGAATGCATATATAATTTACTATTTAAAATAATTTTTTTATGAACTACTTATGTTTTTGCGCCAAAAATGCATTATCTCATCTTGTCACTGTCTCTTTTAATAAACTATATTAAAAATATAGGCTGCTTTTCATTTCAATAACTGTTGGTCATGAAGCAGTGCGATAACTTTGAAATAGACATTTATTTATTAAATTTTTATGTGAACGCTCGGTTGAGAATTTTGGTTTTACATAATGAACTTAATCTAACAAATAGTAAAATAATATATGCTAGACTTAGTCTAACAAATAGTCAGGTAGGTGGTGCCAGACATAGTCTAATAAATTGTAAAATAAGAGGTGCTAGACTTAGTCTAACAAATTGTAAAATAAGAGGTGCTAGACTTAGTCTAACAAATAATCATGTAGGTGGTGCTAGACTTAGTCTAACAAATTGTAAAATAAGCGGTGCTAGACTTAGTCTAACAAATAATCATGTAGGTGGTGCTAGACTTAGTCTAACAAATTGTAAAATAAGAGGTGCTAGACTTAGTCTAACAAATAATCATGTAGGTGGTGCTAGACTTAGTCTAACAAATAGTAAAATTTGAGGTGCTAGAGTTAGTCTAACAAATAGTCAGGTAGGTGGTGCTTGACTTAATCTAATAAATAGTAAAATAAGAGATGCTAGAGTTTAACAAATAGTCAGTTAAACTGTGCCAGACTTAGTCAAAGAAATAGTAAGGTATGTTTTGATATACTTAGTCTAACAAATTGTAAAATAAGATGTGGTAGACTTAGTCTAACAAATAGTAAGGTAAAATGTGCCAGACTTAGTCTAAACTATCTAAAAGGTGTAGATTCAGTATAACCCATGGTTAGATAGTTGTGTAATCTTAGACTAACAAAAGGTTAGACAGTAGTGTTTCAGAATTAGTTTAATAAATGTTTAGATAATTGTGGTGTAGACTAAGTCAAACAATTGCTTAGATAGTTAGATAGATTGCTTAGTAAAAAATGGTGATATATTTGGCGTGTAGAATTAGTCTAACAATTGGATAGATAATTGTTGGTTTGACTTAGTCTAAGTAAACGTTAGATGCTTTTGATGTTGACTTAGTCTAACTATTGGTTAGATAGTTGTGATGTCGACTTAGTCTAACTATTGGTTAGATAGTTGTGATGTCGACTTAGTCTAACTATTGGTTAGATAGTTGTGATGTCGACTTAGTCTAACTATTGGTTAGATAGTTGTGATGTCGACTTAGTCTAACTATTGGTTAGATAGTTAGTTGTGATGTAGACTTAGTTTAACTAAAGGTGGTGTCTGTAGAGATAGTTGGGAAATAATGCAGAGAAAAATACCTCACCGCAGAGGCATAAAATACGAAATAAAATATGTTACCAACTTGTGTTTTTGGGTCTTTGGCTAGACGGGTATTATATAACACAAAAGTCCTGATCACATATACTTCCATAAAGGTCACATACTCTCATACTGATTACAATATCCCAAAATGATCACATTTTTCCATACTGATAACATACTCTCATACTGATTAAATGCGCCCATTTACTTGCGTACGAGGGGTGGGGACCGCACAGGGTGACACAATCTAAGAGGGTGAAACCAAATAGAAACACTGCATATTTACATGACACACATTGCTAGGCATATCCGAAGTTCATAAAAGGCCCACAACTCCCTCAATTTTTATTGCAACTCATAA